TTTTGATTGACATTGCATTAAATCTATGTATCAGTTTTGAAAGTATGGCCATGTGACAATGTTGGTTTGCCTGTCAAGGAAGGAAGGATATCTTTCCATTTTCCGGTGTCCTCTTTGATCTCCTTTTTCCAAGTACTATAGTTTTTGCTGTAGAGGGTTTTCATTTCCTTGGTTTGGTTACTTACCCCCCCCCATCCCCCAGATGAAAGCTAAATCCCTGGCCCCTTGTTTGGTTAATTTTTAAGTATTTACTTTTTCTTGAAGCTGCTATGGATATTGTTTTCCTAATTTCTTTCTCAGTTGGTTAATTATTGTTGTACATGAATGCTGTTGATGGATTTTTTGTTTCTTGATTTTGTATCCTTGTTACCTTGTTGAATTTGTTTATTCTAGGGATTTCTGGTAGAATTTTTGGGGTCTTCTGTATAAAGCATCATGTCATCTTCAAATAAGTATAGTTTGACTTCTTTCTTCTTATACTTAGCCCTTTTATTTTTTTATCTTGCCTGGTTGCTCTGGCTAATTATATTGAATAGGAGGGATGATAATGAGCATCCTTGTCTTGTTTCTGATTTTAGAGGAAGAACTTTCATATTTTCCCTATTTAATGTGATGTTTGCCATTAGTTTGTTATAAATAGCTTTTACAGATTGAGATACCTATACCTATCTTCTTCAGGGTTTTGGTTTTTTTTTATTCATGAATGGATATTGTATTTTGCCAAAGACTTTTTCTGTATCTATTGAGATGACCATGTGATTTTTTTGCCCTTCCATTTATGTGTGATGTATTATGTTTATAGCTTTTCATATGTTGACGCATACTTACATCACTGGGAAGAGGCCTACTTTGTTTTTGTTTTTGGTACCAAGGATCAAACTCAGGACCTTGTGCTTTCAAGGCAGGCAGCAGCCTCACTGAGCTGAATCCCCAGCCAAGAGGCCTACTTTGTATGTGTGACCTTTTTAATGATTTGTTGTATTCTGTTTGCCAGTAACTTGTTGTGGATCTTTGCATCTGTTTTTATTAAAAAGATTTGTCTGTAGCTTTTATTTTTATTTTTTAAAATCAAGTCCTTGTCTTTGGAATCAATGCTAGTATTAACCAGGTAGCTCCTTCCAAAAGTGGCTGGCCAAAGAAATGCTACTGAATTTTGTGGTGTTTGAGTCTCCTTCTGGAGTTGGATTGCAGGTTCTTCTTTTCTTGAACAAAGAATTTAATAAAGTGAACAAAAAGTGGTGACAAACTTTATTTGAAAAAGTAGAAGTGAAGAGTGAGGGAGAAACTAGCCCTTTATAATGAGCTTGAACAAAAAGGAAAAAGCAAGATAAAAATGCGTCCTAAGGGCCGGGGATTTTGCTAAGTGGTTCTGCCACCTGCTTCGCAAGTGCAAAGTCTGGAATTCCATCCCTGGTACCAAAAAACAAAACAAAAACCACCACCCCACCCCCTCCCGCCAATGTCCTGCAAGACACAGGGCAGGCTATTGAGTAAAGCCACAATAGTGAGCTCCTCATGGCATCTGTGTCTTTTTATGCTGTCCAAATCTTGAGGAAACCCATGAGAACTTCTACATAAAGGTCCAGAGTGGTGCTGGGATCCTATGCCTCAGGTTGATGTCAGGTGTAGGCCATCCTATTGAAAACCTTAAGTTCTTGAAAGAAGTTCATGTGCAGGGCTTTAGGAACTGTTCTGCACATATGTTCTGAGATCTTGTAATTAACAGGTCATGCCTACTTCCCCAGCCAGTTCTGCTACACTCTAATCACCTGTCTCACTACCTTTGAAGAATGAGTTTGGAAGTACCATTGGTACCTCGGTTCATGAACTTAATTTGTTCTACAATTTTAGAAAAGATGGCCAAAAGTGGGAAAGATGGTGGTAGTCATGTTTATCACCCATTGTGGAGTATGCAAACAAAACAAAATTTTGCCAAACATTTATGTTTGTAAATGAAATTGTTTACAAAGTATTCCTGAACTGAAGTACCACTGTACTCCTTCTACTTCATTAATTGAACAGTTTTTATATCTTCTCGGTTCACTTTTGGTAATTCCTGTGCATCTAGGAATCTAACCATTTCTTCTAGACTCTTCAATTTATTGGAGTACAGGTTTTCAAAGTGGTTACCAGTTATCTTCTGGATTTTAGCTGTGTCTTGTGATTTTGCCATTTTCATTTCTGATTGCACTGGTATAGTTCCTTTATTCCTCTTTTTTTGGTCAGATTGGCTAAGGTTTTATCTATTTTGTTTATTTTTTTCAAAGATCCAGCTCTTCAATACATTGGTTCTTTGTATTGGTTGTTTTATTTTGCTGTAGCCCAGGCTGGCCTTGAATTCCCAGTTATTCTCCTGGGTTTATATTGGTATTTTAGTCTCAATTTTATTAATTTCTGCTCAGATCTTTATAATTTATTTTCTTTTACTAGCTTTGGATTTGATTATTTTTCTAGGACCTTGAGGTACATCATTAGGTTACTGATTTGGGTTCACTCTGTTTTTCTGAAATGGGCATTCACACTATAAATTTCCTTTTTAGGATTGCTTTCATTGTGTCCTGTAGGTTCTACTACTGGCATTATCATTTGATTATAGGAACTAATCTCTTTCTTCATTTGTTCTGTGACCTAATAGTGTATATTTAAATCTCCACATATTTGCATAATTTCTATGGGTTTCCTTGCATTGCTTTCTAGTTTAATTGCACTATAATGTGATACTATGCATGGTATAATTTTGATTTTTTTGTGTTTAATTTAAGCATACTTATGATCTAGCATGTTATCTGTTTTTGAGAAAGTTCCATGTGCTACTGAGAAGAATGTATATTCTGTTATTGTTGGGTGGTACACTTTGTATGTATCTGTTAAGTTCATTTGTTTAAAGGTGTGGTTCAACTCTAATTTTTCTGTGTTGATTTTTTTTAGGTCTGGTTGATCCATTTATGATAATGGGGTATTGAAATATCCCCCATTATAATTGTGTTGGTGTTTATCTGGTCTTTTATGTCTATAGTTTTTTTTTATGGAATTAGGTGCACCAGTATTTTGGGCATATTTATTTACAATTGTTATCTTTTCCTGTTTAACTGTTATCTTAACCAAATGGTAATATTCTGTATTTCTTTTGATCAGTTTTGGCTTGATGTCCACTTTGTCTAAAGTAGGATAGCTACATTTGCTTATTTTTGGACTCCTGTTGCATGGACTAGTATTTTCCGTCCTTTGATTTTTAGTCTGTGATTTTCCTTTTGGCTTAAATGTGTTTCTTGATTACAGCATACTGATTTTTAGTCCAACCTTCCTGTCTCTGTCTTTTCATTGGGTAGTCAAGACTATTCCCATTGAGAGTTATTATTGAAAGTTACTGACTTACGCATGTCCTTGCATTATTTTCCTGTTGCTGATTTTTTCTACTTCTACTTAATTGCTCATCCTACCAAGTGTATTTATTCTATTAGAAATTTTGGCATTGTTGGCTTCACAACTTGTCTTTCTTAGGATATCCTTGAGAATTTTTGGTTGCTGGTTTAGTGCTCATGAATTTCCTAAGGTGCTCTTGGTCATAGAAAGGTGCTCATGAATTTCTTAACGTGCTCTTGGTCTCTTCATCAATTTTTTTTTCTCTATTGATTTTGAAAGGTAGTTTTGAAGGATATTTTATTTTGAGTTGAAAGTTGTCTTCTTCCAGGACTTGAAGACTTCCCTCCAAACTTTTCTATTCTCTTAACATTTGTGTTTAGAAATCTGCAGTAAATCTAATAGGCTTACCCTTATAGTTGATTTTTCTCTTAACAGCTTTTAAGATTTTTGTCTGTCTGTTGGGCTTCTGGGATTTTGACTATAATATGTCATGAAGTTCTTTTCAGGTTGTGGCCATATATGCTTTGCTTACCTGTATGGTGAATTCTTTCCCTATCCTTGCAAAATTTTCTACTATGATTTCTGTAAACAGATAAGTCATTCATACCGTCTTCTTTTCCCTAACCCAGTTAATCTCTGGTTTATCTTTTTGTGTCATCTAGAAACTCTTGGATCCATTTTTCATGTTCTTTTTGTTTTTTCCATGTTCTTTTGTACTCTATATGGTCATCAAACCACTGCATTCTGACACTGTCCTTATATTGGTTACTTCCACTGCCCATAGAATTTTGGAAGGAAAAAGGAAAAATTAAAAAATAAAGAAAAGTTGAAAAGGAGAAAAGTGAAATAAAAGGAGTAAAAGAAAATTAGTAGTCTTAGATAAAAGTAACAGAAAATTTAAAAAAGAAGAAAAAGGAAAACCAGAAAGCAAAACAAAGACAAAATAAAACAAAAAACCAGACCCTGAAAACGAATGAAGAAAAAGAGAAATCAGTCCAAATAGCAATTCTCTATTTTTAAATGAGTGGGTTCTTCCCAGAACCTGCAGTATTGGAACCCAACACATAGGTAAGGGACAGTGAATCACTGCTAAGATCTATTTACACTCATATTTTTGTGTGTGAATGCTGAATCCTGCATCACTCTTCCTGCTTAAGTTGGGTTCAGATTCAGCTGCAACTCATGCGTACAGGTTGTAGAGCATACATCTTACCATATCACATCAGGGGACCATGAAGTGATATTCTCCCTGTTGGGAGACAAGAGGTGAAGGGACTTACTTAATGCCGCATTTGGAGCACAGCTGTTCATTCTGTCTTTCTTGTATCTTGAGACCATGAAGCCTCCTCTTTGTGACTGTAGTACTAAGTAATAGTAAGAGTGATGGCTGTCATTTATAGTGGGCCTTTTCTGTGTTAGGCTTGGTTCTAGGCACACACATTATTTAGTCTTTACAACAGCACTGAGGTGTATTATTGTCCTCATTTTATAGTATATATCCAACAATATTAAGAGAGATGTAACTTGCCTTATGTTACTAGCCAGTAAGTTGCTGAGTTGAGAAATTCAAACCCAAGTACATCATCCCTGCTCTTCCCAAAGTAAAGAAAGCCATGTTTTTTTCCTTGGTTTTTCAGACCTATCCCTGGAAAGCATGTGTGGCACTGAGCATGCCCAGCTGGGGGAAGATGGACAGCGGCCACCACGGTGCACTTCAACTACCTCATCTCAGTCTGAGCCTTCAGAGCAGCTTAGGCACCACCAAGGCAAGATTCTAGCCTCAGAGGACCCTAAAAAGAAGAGAGCCCAGAAGCCCTCTCACATGAGGCGAAACATAAGGTGAGCTGCGTTCTGGGCAAGGGGAGAGGGGAATGATACCGGTATTAACTTTGTTGTAAGGCTGGCAGTAGCAGCACTGTTTTGGGTAGGAGAGTCCTCTCTCTAGGAGAAAACTGTCCAATACTGTGCCCTTAATGGAGAAGATGAGCTCAGAACCACTGGGAGGGGCTGTTTGAGGGTGCAGGAAAGATATTAAACAAGGTCCTGGATACTTTGAAACCTCAGGTCACTCAGACATCCAAAGAAGTTATATGTGGTGGCCCAAGGATGATAGGGTGTTCTCAATTAGATTTTCTGTTTCTTTATTATTCCTTATATCTCTAAAACAAGAAAAGGTTTAAAAATTTTATTTTTTTAGAATGCAACTTCAGATTGGAGGGTGAGGGTGGCTGTCTGGCCCAAAGCAGGTCTTCTTCCTTGAGCTAAAAGATAAGATGAGTGAACGTGAACTTCTTTAATTAGCCAAATCCCCAACAATCCTTCCTTCTACCAAATAACAACTAGTGCTATTGAAAGGACATAAATGATTATTTTATTCTGCTCCATTTTTTTCTCTTTTGAAACATATCAACAACTTGATAGTATTACTCTAAGCTTGAGAGTAAAGATGTAGAATCCCTGATTTTACTTTTTTATAGAACAGCTTTGTTTTTAATACTTTCAGTTTTGTGAGTCATGTTACTGTTTTACTTTATCTGTTATGTGCAGAGACAAAAATGGCAGGTATGTCTATCAGGAAGTTAAATAATGTGGAAAATATGTTAGCCTAGAACCACCTGAACTTGAACCAACCTCTTGCCCCCATCCTACCCATTTTATAGGTTCAGTAAACTGAAGTGGCCTCTCTTCTCCACTTAGTTCTTTGACTCCAGCAATGGTAATTTCCCTCTTTAGCTTGCCATTACATTGCTGACATCATTTTTTTTTCTCTTTCTCTCTTAAATATGGCTGTAATCTGAAATAAACTCAAGTGGTCTCTTTTTTTCAGAAAGCTACTCCGGGAGGATCAGTTGGAGCCGGTTACCAAAGCAGCACAGCAGGAAGAGTTGGAAAGAAGGAAGCGCCTGGAGCAGCAGAGGAAAGATTATGCAGCCCCCATTCCCACTGTTCCCCTGGAATTCCTCCCTGGTGAGCAAAGGAGGTGGCAGAAAAGGCTCTAGGCTCCCACAGTGGTCAAAGACAGATATGGAATAAGATTGTGGCCTCTCAGGAATCCGTTAAAGTCATCTTGCAAGTTGCAGGCTAGTTTGAGTAAATAGCAAGCTTGAGGCTAGCCTGAATTACATAGTGAAACCTTGGCTCATAAAATGGGGTGAGGGGTGGGAGATTATGGGTAAACAAATATGCCATCTCAGATTGATATTTATTGCGATTTTTGCCTTAGCTTTGAAACTTGACATGCTAAGTGATTAGTACCTTTTGTAGAGAAAAGGAATTTGGAAAGAGGCCTGATGTTTTTGAGGTGTCTTCTGCTTTTCTTCCCAGTGGATGCTCCCTGTGACAGTAGCAAACAAGGCAGGGTGGTGAATCATTTTGGGAAAAATATTTGAGCTAAATGTAGTTTGATGTTCCTTTCCTTCTTTTCCTAGAAGAAATTGTCTTAAGAGCAAGTGATGGTCCTCAGTTGCCTCCTCGGGTCTTGTCCCAGGAAGTCATTTGTTTGGACAGTAGCAGTGGTAGTGAGGATGAAAAAAGCAGTCGAGATGGTAAGATCAAGTCAGAGATGCCTCCCTTTTCTTCTGACCAGATGTTCATCTTGAGATCAGCTGTCCTTTTGAAAAAGAGTTCAGGGGCCGGGGATTTAGCTCAGTGGTTCCGCCACCTGCCTTATAAGCATAAAGGACCTGAGTTTGGTCCCTGGTACCAAAAAAATAAAATAAATAAATAATGAAGTGAAATGAAAACGAATTCAGTCCTTCTTCACTGGGGCTTACCTTTGACAGTTTCTTCTGAGTCACCTTAGTAATTATATGTTTTCTGTTTATCTTAACTTGAAACTGGAAGAGGAAAATAAAAACAAAAACCAAAATTTTTATAAGAGATGACAAATTCTAACTTTCTTTGCTTTTTTTTTTGGTACTGGGGATTGAACTTGGAACCTTGGGCTTGCGAGGTAGGCAGTGGAACCATGGAGCTTAATCCCTGGCCCAGTTTCTACACTCTTGACAAACAGCAATAAATAATCTCTGCTCCTTGGGTTTTTCTTTTGTTTTTCTGCTGCCTCAGAGGTGATTGAACTGAGCTCTGGAGAAGAGGATACTCTGCACATTGTGGACAGCAGTGAGTCTGTCAGTGAGGAGGACGAGGAAGAAGAGAAGGGTGGCACTCATGTGAATGATGCCTTAAACCAGCATGATGCTCTTGGGCGAGTCCTCGTCAACCTCAACCATCCTCCAGAGGAGGAGAATGTCTTCCTGGCCCCACAGTTGGCACGGGCCGTGAAACCTCATCAGGTACAACAAATCTTATCTCCCCTCCCCTTTTCTTTTCTGTTTCCTTTCTGGGAACATTGCCTGCCGGTGATTGTTAGCTTTGAAGCCTGTGAATACTTGTTTAATCTTATGAGTAGCTATTGGAAAGGATTGATACCTCCTCCTAGAAGTTGATGCTTCAAGAGCCCCTTGAGTACAAAGGTGGGTAAAGAGAAGAGACAAGCCTGGGGTTTCCCTTTTCAGGCAAAGTTAGTGGGAGCTTTTGGCCTCACGGTCTTGTGCCTCCTCCTGTGGGATCAGCAAGGAAGAGCTTGAGAGGCTTTCTGGAGAGTAGTGCATTGTTTAGTATGGCATGGATCCAGAAGAGATATGAGAGTCACATTTTGGGACTTTATGCTGCTTGGGAGCAGAATAGTTTATATTGGTCCAGATCCTTGATCCTAAAGCCCAGGACGAGCGAATCAAAGTTCCATGAAGACAAAGGTTGACTCAGCTTAAGGACTGTATGTAACATCAAAATTTCTTTATGGAGTGGGCTGCCTGGAGGTAGTTCCCTCCCCAAGGCTGAAAGCAGCCAGAATGAATGAAAGACCTTATTAGAAATTTGGTACTGCAGAGTCTATAGTCAGATGGGACATTGTACCAGGTGAATGCTTCTGTGTGTTTTCTCCAATATGACAGCCCCAGCCAATACAATAGGCAGGTCCAGGGAGACTTCTTTGTCCATCCATATCAGCTATCTGTTATCAAACCTGCACATTGACTTAATTCTGACTGATTCCTAAGTGAGTAACAGAATACTGGTCTTTGCTAGCGTCTCTTACATTTTTCTGTTTGTTGTTGGTCAGATTGGTGGGATCCGGTTCCTGTACGATAACCTAGTGGAGTCATTGGAGAGGTTTAAGACCAGTAGTGGCTTTGGCTGTATCCTAGCCCACAGCATGGGTCTGGGGAAAACTTTGCAGGTGATCTCATTCATCGATGTCCTCTTTCGCCACACGCCAGCCAAAACCGTCCTTGCCATTGTGCCGGTAAGAGTTTTTGAGAAGGCTCTGCTTAGTCATCTAAAGAGCTCTGGGTAATGTTTTTATTCAGCACCAAAAAGCTTGATGTGCTCAGCTCTGAGCTTGTTTCTTAAAACTTTTTTTTTGGACTTGGCTTTCTGATAGGTTAATACTCTCCAGAATTGGCTGGCAGAGTTCAACATGTGGCTCCCAGCTCCTGAAGCCCTTCCAGCTGACAACAAGCCTGAAGAAGTCCAGCCTCGTTTTTTTAAAGTCCACATTTTGAATGATGAGCACAAGTAGGTAGCCTGCCTTTTCCTCTGCCACATTCCTTTGAAATTTCTCCTGGGGACCCAGATGTCAGGGTAGTCTATTTCAATATTTACCTCATCCTCCCAGTTTCCTTTTGGTTTCTTGATATATCCCTTTTTCTGTTCTTGCTACTCATTTTTTTTTTCCTTCCTTTACATAACTTTTCATTGAAGCTAGTTATGTAGCCTGGGAAATTTCTTATGTTGTGCTTTAGGATACTTTTATAGCATGAAAAAATGCTATAACATTTTCCATTGTAAGTAGTAATAAAATTCAGAATGATAGAATAGAACTTTTGGTCTTTTAACTTTTTACATTTATCTTTTCTTAGCAATCTAATGATCTTGTCTTTTAACCACTGATCCATAGTTGACCTTTAATGGTACAACTTCCAAACCTTTGAAAGGTGTAAACTTTGTTTTAGATTTAAATAAAATTATTTATACAGTATTTCCATTCTGTAATGTCAACCTGATTTACTAAAATCTAAAACTGCTTCTTGGCATGATTAACTGAAAAGGTAGACTTTATTTTCTGCAGAGTGTTTTTGTGATGTTTAGTCACACACATTAAAATGAGGAGACTCTTAAGTGACCTAACAAGTGGTTGATCACTGTTCTGCTTTCTTAGGTTTCAGGACTTCTAGTCTACATGAGGTTAATGAAACAAAGTGAGGGTTCAGGTGGTTAGGAGTGGTGTGACTATGCTGAGGGTCATCTCTGCTGTCTTTGCCCCTTTACTGTTTTTCATTGTCCTTTACCGACTGCAGCCAGGGCAGGTGATGTGTAGAGTATTGCCTATCTTTCTGTTACCTTGTGTTTGTCAAAGTACTAACTTGAAGTGCTTTCTCAAATGTTGGATTGTAGTAATGCTTGTACATCCAAGGGAGTTATCATTCTCTTTTACCTTCCATTGAATTACTATGTTTCTTGCTATTTAACCATCATCAATAATCAAGTGCATCCTCGGTGCAATTAGTATTTCTGGGATGCTTGGAAAGTCTTTGGGCAACTGGCAATAAAGAGTTCTGAATGTATATCAGTATATCTTTGATCGTGAGGAATTCTTCCTTAGAAGCAGCAGAAGTAGTAATACTTTCTCTCTGTGTGTGTTTTGTTGTTATTGGTACCGGTGATTGAATTTAAGGCCTTGCACATGCTAGTCAAGCAATCACTGTATCCTCAGTCAATATCTTTAACAAAGTAAGATGAACTTTATTGAGATGTAATTTACATTTCACATAATTTTCTCTGTTTACTCTTGCAGGACGATGGCATCTCGTGCTAAAGTGATGGCTGATTGGGTCTCAGAGGGAGGGGTGCTGCTGATGGGGTATGAAATGTATAGACTTCTCACTTTGAAGAAATCCTTTGCTACAGGTAGACCTAAGAAAACTAAGAAACGCTCTCACCCAGTCATCATTGATCTGGATGAGGAAGATCGACAGCAGGAGTTTCGGAGAGGTGGGCAGCCTTTTCTGGAAATATTTTCAGGGGCATTTCAGGAAAAAAGAAATAGTGTATGCTAATAGCACCTACTCAGACATGAAATACATTATTGATGTGAATTGTTATCACATTATCTGTTCTCTAATTTGGATGGGGCAACTTCTAGTCCCACCCTGAGGGGAGATTGCCCTGTCTGTCCCTGTTTCTCTCACAAAACAGAGGCGAGTAATCACTCCATTTACTACTTCCTAGAGATGTTCTGAGAAGGCATTATGAAAAATCATTCCTATAAGACAGAAAAGTAGTAATGTTTGTAAATTTATAAAACTGCTTTTTGCAAAAACCATTTCACTTATAGTTCTAGTTTTATCGCCACCCCACCCCCACCCCACCCAAGGAGCCTTTGCCCATTTGAGAGAGAAAGTTTTAAGGGTTTAGAGACTGTTTATTTTATAGGTCTCTCTATCTATGAGGTTGCTTGTTCTAGGTTTGCTTCCATGGTAGAGCTGGGATGATCTTTCATTTAGCAATGACTGATGAATAACTTCGGGAAGATATTGTCCTCTAGCTAGTTCCTACCGGGCAACCCTCAGAAGGAGCCAGGACAAAATAAAAAAAGGATAAGGGATACTTATTGAAAGGGTCAGTGGCCAGGTTAGTGTCACATCAAACACATGGGAGCTTGGATGGCTGGCTCCCTTTTGCCAATGGGGGCTGACTCTTGCTTTCCTACTTCCTTCATTTCTTCTGTCTCCTCCAGGGTGCTCCCCTACTTCTCATATTATTGACTAAGAACAGGCCCTCTTACCCTCTGACTCCGGATCCTCTTCCCTCCCTAGAGTTTGAGAAGGCCTTATGTCGCCCTGGTCCTGATGTGGTTATCTGTGACGAGGGACACCGCATCAAAAACTGCCAGGCCAGCACCTCCCAGGCTCTGAAGAATATACGCTCTCGCCGCCGGGTGGTGCTGACTGGGTACCCCCTGCAGAACAACCTTATCGAGTACTGGTGCATGGTGGACTTTGTGCGCCCAGATTTCCTGGGTACTCGGCAAGAGTTCAGCAACATGTTTGAACGCCCTATCCTGAATGGGCAGTGTATTGACAGCACACCTCAGGACGTCCGCCTCATGCGGTACCGGAGCCATGTCCTACACAGTCTCCTGGAGGGTTTTGTGCAGAGGTGAGTCAGGTTTAAGGCCCATTTTCTGAATCGTCACAAATACTACGTGTATGCCAAAGTCATTTTGAAGGGGAAATGTTACATTAAGATGGCCCTTTCCTAGTAGGCAGTAGTAAAACTTTCCTTTGTGTAAATAGCTGGCAGATGATGGATATCTAGTATTTCAGTCCTCTGAAAGTTTGGCGTAGAAGCACTTTACTCAGAAGTTACCTTTAAAGTTACTAAAGATACCCTCTTTACTTGCTGAGCAAAGCATCAGAGAGCTGACTTGAAGGAATAGAAGTGTGGTTCAGGGGTTTGACTTTACTAGTTTCAGCATCAGTAGCTGTAACTGAGGCTAGTCAAAGCAGGCTGTCATTTTCCCTGGTTATGTTGGTATGTGTGGAAAAAGCTCAGAGAAGCATCTCTGAATTGGAGTTAGAATCTGCAATTCCTTTGGTCCTTGCCATGGAATCAGTCATGATCTGGGACAAATCCATCTGTCTCCTTCCTTTAGTTTTCATCCTTACATGACTTTCTTCTCATAGTGCTGAACCACTGCACTGCAGTGTGGTGCACCATTACTGCAGTGCTTGTTAAGATCTTTAAGAGAGAAGTGTGACAGGAGTGCAAGGCCCTGTTTTTATCCTGCACTGACTTCTGCAGGCCATTGCTGATCTCTTTCCCTCTGTAGGAGAGGCCATACTGTGCTGAAGATTCATCTCCCTGCCAAGGAAGAGAATGTGATCCTGGTGCGGCTCTCTAAGATTCAGAGAGATTTGTACACACAGTTCATGGACCGCTTCCGAGACTGTGGTAGCAGTGGCTGGCTGGGGCTGAATCCTCTCAAGGCTTTCTGTGTATGCTGTAAGGTGTGTTGGGGCCTCATGAAAGACTGGAATGGGGACTAGAGATGCACATGATCCTCAAGGATTTTTTTTTTCCATTAAGTTTGTTGGTACATTTAAGGTAAAGAGTATAGTTACATTCATCATTGGGATCCAAGGATTTTTTTCCTCCTGGGACCTGGATAAAGTCAGAGGAGCTGCTGAAGTTCACTGCACTGGAGTCCTCCTTGGGAGGTCTACAGAAAGATGTGCTCATTGTGTATCATACAGTTTCAGGGGTTGCCACTCAGAATGTAGTGTAATGCCTCCTGCTGTAGTGCGTTCAGCTGCATAACTTGTTAGAGCAAACTCAAGAAATCACTTTCTTTCTTACAGATCTTTTTTTTTTTTTTTAACTTGGAAAAGAGGAGTTGCAGAGAAATATTATGGTGGCGGAGTTTTTGACTGATAATATAATCAGTCTTCAAGAAATTATAGCTTAGACAGTTGTTATGGTTATTGTCTATCTGATGTGTTGATGTAATCAGGTTGCAATCTCTCTCATCTGGTTATTGAGAGACCTGTTTGACTTGATATCTCTGATTACACTCTCAACAGATTTGGAAGCTATTATTCTTGATTGACCAGTATGTCACTAAGCTTATGGAAAGTGCATGTCTAGGGACAAATGGAGCTTCAAAATATTCCTTTTGTAGTCATAGTCCTAGTCTAGAGCTAGGAAACTGAAGCAAAAGTGGTTGTGACAGTGCTTTGGTGCCACTACATCTATCATTCCTCCTCTCTCCCAGGAACTCTAACTCTTGCCAGGAATAGTCCCTGAAATGACATCTGATCAGTTATCTATAAGTCAGATACATTTTGTTCATAGGGAGAAGTTAGTCTTGATTCAAACAGTAGCCTTGAAGTGAAAACAAAACATTATCTGAATAAGAATGCAAAATTTGGGCTGGGGATTTAGCTCAGTGGTTCTGCCACCTGCTTTGCAAGTTCAGGGACCCACGTTCGATTCCCGGTACCAAAAAGAATGCAAAACTTATTTTTTAAAAAAGTTCAAAGCTTGTGACATAGCATTTTGATTATATACCAAACATACTGATATTGCCCTCAGTAAGAACTTTCCCTTTCTTGTGTCATGGTCATTACAGCTGGTAGTGAGATTTAATTTGCTGGCTCTTTTGGAATGATTGTGGGCATAGAAAGTTTTGGTATGATAGCATGTTCTGTGGAAGGTGTGTGTTTGAGCAAGTGCATATTTTTAGACTCCCTGGGACAACCTTGGATTGTTCTGTGTCCTGTATCTTGTCTCTTTTCCTTTAACCTCAGATTTGGAATCATCCTGATGTGTTGTATGAAGCCCTTCAGAAGGAGAGCCTGGCCAATGAGCAGGACCTAGATGTGGAAGAGCTTGGCTCAGCAGGGACCAGTGTCCGTTGCCCACCCCAGGGAACAAAAGTCAAAGGAGAGGATAGCACTTTGGTTTCCTCAGTGGGAGAGGCAACCAATAGCAAGTTCCTACAAGGAGTTGGCTTCAACCCTTTTCAGGAGCGAGGCAACAATATTGTCACATATGAATGGGTGAGTCAAGCAGGTCCTTTAGTAGCCATAAACTATTGCTGAGAAGGGATGGTGCATGGCCCACCTAGGGAGAAATAGGAGTGCACTATATACTGCAATGCCAAGGTCTGCAGGGAGCTATAAAGATGGCCAGTAAGCCACTGCCTTGGAGAAAGAGAATTTTATTTCTGGTCATCTGGACTTAGACCTGCTTTAAGCTGCCTTATTTCTCTTTTACAGGCCAAGGAGCTTCTGACTAACTACCAGACTGGAGTCTTGGAGAATTCTCCCAAGATGGTACTACTTTTCCACCTAATTGAGGAAAGTGTGAAGCTTGGGGACAAGATCCTTGTGTTTAGGTAGGAAGAGAAATTCCAAGTTCAGGCTGTGTGTCTTTGGTGAGGATTAACAGAGCCCCTGCCAAGTGAGCCCAGCTAGGCTCACATTAGCCCCCTTTTCTTTCTCCAAGTCCCTGCAACCAACCTCATATTGTGAGGACCTTCTCACATTCTTCCTCTCTCTTCCTCCCCTCCTCTCCCTCCCTCTCTTCAAGCTTCTTTCTTAACCCAATGCATTTTCTACACAATTTAGACCCCAGGCCGACATTAAGGTTTACAGTCTAATCCTTCAAATTGTGACCCAGACCCAGTTTGGTTTCTGGCTTGATTTTGTTCAGCTTGAGAACTAAAAATAGTTTTTATGTTTTTCTTTTTTTTGTACTGGGATCGAACTCAGTACCTTGCACTTGCGAGGCAGGCCGCAGCACCACTGAGCTAAAGCCCTGACCCAGTTTTTACATTTTTAAAGGATTGTAAAAAAAAATTTCAAAGAATGTGCAGCAGAGAGTGCATCTGGTCTACAAAGCCTAAAATGTTTGCTATTTGGCCTTTTACAGAAAACATTTGCAGACCCCTAGTCTAATCTGCTTCCATCCCTCCATTATCCTTTTTAAAGCCTTGTATATAAGGCCAAATGAGTGATGTGATGGTGTCTATAGTCACATTCTTGGTCTGGCTGGAGCTTTGGGTTTCAAGGCCCCACTCCTCAGGAAAGCAGATATAAAGTAGATTGCTTCTCCTTCTTTATCCTGACCAGATTATGCCCTAAAGAAAGCCAAATAGTAGGAGCCGGAGTGGGAGCCTCAGATTGAAGGGCTTCTATATGTGACATTCTTTGAGACTGCAAAGGTGATTCTAACTAGAGGAGCCCTGGTTGTCCTCTTGGTTTTAAGGATCACTTCTGAGGAGACTGGCTGTAATTCTGTCTCCCTTAGAAATAACTCTAAGATTGACTGTTGCGCAGTCAGATTTTAATGTATATTTATATGGTGTTGGTTTGTAGTGTTGAATGCTTATTGAAACATTGAACTAAACCTCAACATTTTTCAATAGAGGAAGTAAAGAATGGAGAGATTTTATTTTCAGTAGGATGATGATAATAAATATCGGATGACTCTGTCCCCAGTATAAGTTAGGGAAATACCTTTGGTTGTTTTTGGTGGTTACCTCTCATGGGGAGTAGGTTATGGGAGCTCTCACTGTTAGAATTTGCACACTGTGTGGACTTAGGGGGAACAAGGTTTCCTTAGGTCTGGGAGCCATCTGAATTACATGTTTTCCCTTTCAGCCAGAGCCTTTCTACCCTAGCTCTCATCGAAGAGTTCCTAGGGAAACGAGAAGTTCCCTGTCTGCCTGGTGTAGAGGGGCAAGGATCACAGAAGTGGGTTCGAAATGTCAGCTACTTCCGTGAGTTTGTTGCTGCTTTGTTCTTGGAGCCTTGGCAAGATCTGTTTAAGGGTTTCCTTTTCATCTCCCCTCTTTTCTCTTCTTCTGTACTCTCCATCAAGTGTGCAGAAATACATTTGATTAGCCAGGGAGCAGGGAAATACTAAGAATGAACTGTTATATGTGAGTCCCTATAGGATTGGGTCACTATAGGATTAGGAGTTTGGGAGACACATGGGGAGTATAGAGAAGTAGAAAGCATAGGCCTGGTCTTCAGTTGAGATGTAATAACTCAGGGGCAAATGCTAAGTATCACCAGGAGGTGGAAGGAGGGAAGGAGAGTGAGTATGTAAAAAGAATTATATATGTGTTAAATATGTGTATCATTTTTACATAATGTAGTAATTATGTACTGCAAATGTACTAATAAAAATTATAAAATGCTAAGTAGCAGCACTTGAGTGCCAAAACAAGTTCTAAGGAAGGCAGAATCACTGGTAAGGACGATTAGAGAAGCCTTCTGGAAAAGATGGGGAGAATTTGAACATACAGAGGTTGCATGGCCTGAAGATCACTGCAGGAAGAAATTGCAGACTGAACATAAGCCTAGATTATGCTTTGTTTTTTGGGGAGATGATACCTCATGAGGATGAAAATTATGAGCATGTGTGTGTGACCATGTATGTGGTGTGTGTGTATGTGAAAAATCTCAACTTTAAAAAAGGGAATAAGTCACAGATCCATGTACAGAAACAGGTATACAGTATATCTGTAGTATTGAAATTTTATGGGAGACATGGTGTAATTGGGCTTTTTAGGGGAATGGTAATGAAAAAAAAAGTTGAAAAACACTGATCTCAGCTCTGACATCCAGGCTAGAATTTGGTTATAGAGACTGTGTATTATGTATGTTTATCAGCATCCCTACTTTCTACTCACCAGATATAAATAGCATCTTCAGTTTTGACAGTCGAAAACATCTAGCCATTGCTAAATATTCTTGGGGAGTGGGAAAATGGAAAAATCACCTTTTTGTGACTCTCTGGCCTAAAGGAAGGATTTAGAGTAATGGAGGTTTAGGGAGTAATGAGGAGATCCCTAGCACAGGGTTTGACTTGGAGCTTGTTTCTATGATTAGGCTTGCCTCATGAGTCAGTGGTGAGATGTGTTTCAAAATTGTAAGAGGGCTGGGGATGTAGCTCAGTGGTGAAGCCCATGCTTGGCAGGTGCAAGGCCCTGAGTTTGATTCCCGGTACCAACCCCCCACAAACAAAAAACAATAATTGTGAGAACTTAGGTCAGAAAGGTATGTTGGGGTCCTGCTTAAAAGCCCTAATACCAGGCATTTAAACTGTTGCTTCCTATAATGGTAATGATTCGGTTTTCTGTGTGGTATTTCATTCCCTAAGCTTTTGCCCTTTAGTTTACCTGATGTGACAAAGTTGTCCCTCCTCTCTTATTTATGCTGCTTCTTAACTGAAGGATTTTTTTTCTCTTCCTTTTGAGTTCCCCTCTTTTCATTATTGTGTCCTATCCCACTGTTCCAGGTCTATTTTTTTTTTTTCCTTTTAGTTCTTAATCTCAGGAGCCTATTAAAAATGTGTTTATTTAGTAAAGGAATAAATCCATATCCAAACACCTAGTCTTGCCACAGGGCTGAGGCAGAGGTCTTCAGCCAGTATTTTCTAAGCTCCCTGAATCTTGTACACTCTTCAGTTTAAGAATGTTGGCCTTAGATTTCACTGAAGGAGAGATTTAGTTTATAATCCTTGTAGCTTGTGAGAATTGCCTGAGAGTATTGTAACATTGTGTACTTTAGATCCCCAGGAGGTGAATCTTGCTGAGCTCCCATGTCCTCATCTATCCACTTCTCATGGCTTTCCTTTCTAGGGCTGGATGGTAGCACCCCGGCCTTTGAGAGGGAGCGGCTTATTACTCAGTTCAACGACCCCAGCAACCGAAGCACCTGGCTATTCCTTCTCTCCACAAGGTGGGCAGGACTGGGAGCAGTTGACTCATCCAAATCTCAGAAGAGATCTTCTTGGGTGTGTGACATTTTTGAGGTTAGAGAGGAGCTATTTAAAAGAGTGGTGGTGAACCCATGGCACATGTGCTGCAGAGGGCTCTTTGTTACCATTGAAAGCTCTAAAAAGTTCTCCATCACTGCCCAAAAAGGAGATTGCAGAAGGACAGTCATAATGTTACAACGTTCCTTGAGGCTTTCACTAACAATGCTCATAGCCTCAGAACAGTTCTGAGAGAAAAGGTTAGACAATGTGATATATGTGAAAACAGTTTAAAAAGTGAATAATACAAAGTAACTTTAAAAAGCTGATGGCATTGTGTGTCTCATGGCAGGCACCTCAAAGGCCTCCCTTCTCCCATCAGAATGTCCTTGGCAGGATATGAACTTCTCATTCCTTTCAGTAAAAACATTGGAAATGTCTGTGCACAGTTTTCCCTCACCAAGGGACATTACTCTGAGGCCACGTTGTAGAGAACTTATTGTTACAGAGGAGTGGAGAATTATAGGCACTGCTATGTTGTATTTCAGGGCATACTTTTTAGTGCTTGAGGAACATACTATTTATCAGCAGGAAAGCAAAATCCTTGGACATATTATGCCTAGGACAGAACGAATGATGCTGGGGTAGGAATCAGAGGGCAAGCTGATTTTAAAAGCTATCTTTAAGACTGAAGGCTTTGTGATTGTTGGCTTATGTTTTAAAGGGCCGGATGCTTGGGTGTGAATCTGATTGGTGCCAACCGCGTGGTGGTGTTTGATGCCTCCTGGAATCCTTGCCATGATGCCCAGGCAGTGTGTCGGGTATATCGTTATGGCCAGAAAAAGCCCTGTTACATCTATCGCCTGGTCGCTGATTATACCCTTGAAAAGAAGATCTATGACCGTCAGATCTCCAAGCAGGGAATGTCAGGTGGGCTGTCTTCTCAGCTGTTCTGGAGATATATCTATTATGCTATCTTTCTTACAGCCTCAATGGTGGGAGAAAGAGCAGACTGTGGGAAGATGGGCTTTGAATTATAGAATGCTAGCAGTTCTTTACATCTCATTCTAATTCAAATTGTTGCTTAAAAGGGAATTGATCTAAGCTTTTTGAAGGTGGGTTTAATGATAAGAGCCAAGGTTTTTATGCAGGTGTCTCTGCTATGTTTCCCTTTCACATCATAGATCTAGCCACTGTGTTTCAGATGTGGGATGATTTTTCATTATTGGTAACAGTTATGGCACTGTCAATCTCCTTTCTCTCTGCCCACCTTTGTAGTTGTGTGTTTAGTCTTCGCCACATACTGACTTTTTTCAGGTCTTTTCCCTTCTAGATCGGGTGGTAGATGATCTAAATCCAATGCTGAACTTCACTCGGAAGGAAGTGGAAAACCTACTGCACTTTGTTGAGAAGGAGCCAGCTCCCCAAGCATCCTTGAATGTAAAAGGGATCAAGGAATCAGTCCTGCAACTTGCCTGTCTGACTTACCCTCACCTCATCACCAAGGTAAGAACCTGATGTGCATGAAGTCCCTGGCATAACATTCTGCCAAGGGAGGCTTGTCTGACAAGCCTGCTTTTATCATCTGAAGTAGTGCTTCCTGCAGACAATTTGGGCTTAACTAGTTCTTTTCTTTGTTCCAGTTAGTCCCCCCTTTCTGTCCCCAACTACTTCCTAACTCTACCCCTGGCCTGGTCCTAGGAGTGTGAGCTTAGCCATGTGGAATAAATTGGGTATTGTAATTTTACCCATACCCAAAGAAGGGGGGTGTGTTTCTGAAAATGCAGTTTATTATTCAGTACACTCATTCTTTTGATAGGGAAGGCAAGTTTAGGTGTCTAAAGCTGACAGTAAGTTAGAGCTGGGAATTATACTCTTGACAGACAGTAGATGGCTTTTGTGTCTGTAAGCAGGCTCTGCACTAGTGCTGGAGACAGCTGGCCTCTTGGTTTCAAAGTAAGGTTCATTGTACATCAATCATATTGGCAGGGCAGTCATGTTGGTACACAGATTTGTAATTAAATCAACATCCCCCTCTGTTCCCAGGAGCCTTTTGAGCATGAATCATTGCTCCTCAACAGAAAGGATCACAAGCTGACCAAGGCTGAGAAAAAAGCAGCAAAGAAAAGCTATGAGGAAGACAAACGCACATCAGTCCCCTATACCCGCCCATCATATGCGCAATATTACCCTGCCAGTGACCAGAGCCTGACCAGCATCCCTGCCTTCAGTCAGAGGAACTGGTAAGTTGCTGAAAGGTGAAGGTCTGTTGTTGAGTCATTCCCAAACACCAACTGATTTCTTTTCAACCAACGTTCTCATCGGCTGCTATGAAGGGTCAGGTGTCTAAGCAATTCAGCAGCCCTGTTTTAAGTGATTCTGGTTTTGACTGCCCTGGTTAGAAGAGTGAGCTGCTGGCTTTGTCATTCAGGAGATCCTTTCTAGACCTCTGAATGGTGGTGGGGTGGTATAGTTTCCTAAAACATGGAGGCCCAGCCTTTCACACAGTTGGCCTTAGACTCAGAGAAGCAGTGAAGTTCAAGGTAAAGGCTGTGTTCTTTCTGGGCCGTGGATTGTATCCAGAGAATTATGCTAGCTTTCTCTTGTGTAGTTTCTGGAGTGTTTGAAAATATGAACAGGATGGAAGCTACCTGCTCAGCAGAGAAGGAGGCACTTTGTTGTATATTACAAACCTGGTGTCTGTGTATCATTTTTTCCTTCACTTGAAGACAGAGTGCCTCACAGCCCTCACCCTCCCACTTAAAAACCAGATTCAATGCCTGATTGACTAGGTTTACATTTTTAATTATCTAATTTTCTTGAGTTAAAGTTAATTATTTTATTTAGGGGAAACGATTTTAAAAGGTTTTTAAGAGTCTCATGTAAAAAAACAAACAAAAACAAAAAAATTTGCCAAATGGCAAAAGGAAAGCATGTAAAATTTTATATGTAAGACTGAAATGTTTTTTTCTTGGGTACTGGAGATCAAACTCAGGACCTTGTGCTTACAAGGCAGCCACAGTGCCACTGAGCTAAATCCCCAGTCCAAGACTGAATTTCTTTTTTTTTTTTTTTTTTTTTTTG